AGATATGTACAAAATTTTTTGTTATTGAATCATTGATTACCCAGTCACCACATTGCTTTCTAAATACTGGGATGTTGAACGGAAAACTAATAAAATTTATTATAAAAAAAGTAGCTCTAAGGGGAGGCTGCATTCCCAACAATGGTTGGTCTCCCTACTGGGGCTGCTGCACTCCCAGCAATTGCTGACCTCCCAACAGTGGCTGCGGCATTCCCAATTGCTGCAGACCCCACAGTGGCTGCTGCATGTTCAGGGATTGTTGCCACCTCCACTGCTGCTGCATTCCCAACAGCTGCTGACCTCCCAGCACCGGCGGCTGCAGCATCCCCAGTTGCTGCAGTCCTCCCATCAGCTGTTGTGCACTCACAGGGTGCTGCCTGCCCCATTGCTGCTGCATCCCAAATAGTTGTGGACCCTCGGTGGTGGCTATAGCACCCCCAAGTGCTGCAGGCCCCCCAACAGCTGCGGCGCCCCAACCTGTTGCTGCCTGGCCAACAGGCTGCGCAGCTTTTGAATTAAATCTCGTTGGACACTCACATTCAGGTCTTCCCCTTGCGCAGGCCTCGGGCAGCACCAACAATGATGCATAGGGCTGTGTGACTGATAGTAGTGATGGTTAGGGCTCTCACAGTACCTGTGATGATCTAGACTCTGGCTGCCCCAGTGGTGGCTTGGGCTTCAGTAGTGGGTCTGTTCATCATGGCTGTCATCGTAATCCCATCACCTGGAGTCTTCACGATGGTGGTGCCTGTCAAGGGATTGCAATAACCGACACCATCCGGTGCTTCTCCTGTGGCTGGGGCTCTTGTGTTATGAGCAGCGCTCCACAGTCCTGTAGGAATGGTAACACCTCAGACTGCCAAGTCTAGAGTGGCGGCCGGGACTCTCCTTCCTCGCAGGGCTGGAGTTCAATCCTGGTGGCTTTGAAGACAGTGAAGCCACCTGCGCTCCATCAGTGGGGCTGGGGCTTCTCTTAAGCACAGATTGGCATCAGCTCCGCCAGTCATTGTGCTCACTTGCATATGAAGAGTGAGAAATTTGGTCCCCACTTCTCACCTCCAGCCCTTCAAATCTCTCCATCAACTTTTCCACTGATTGATTACTGACTGCAGACAGGTACTTCCATTCACCAATCTTTTGGTTCCTTGATGGTCCAGGGAATGCAATCCTCAAGGGGCCCCTGCTTGCAAGTCAGCTTTGGATACTTTCAAAGAACTAGCCTTTAGCAGGGTTGCCTCAAGGCGCTTGGAGTCTCCATTGGGCAGGGTCCACTCCAATGACCAGATCAGGTCTCGTGTCTTTGGCCTTGCTCCCTGCTGTAAGGCATCAAAAGTTCCTTTCTCTTCCAGTGCGCTGGATTGTGCTCCCTCCACTGAGGTAGCAGCCATGGCCAGGGTGCTGGTTACAGGTGCTTCTTCCCTTTCTATGCTGAGATCTTCCTTAAGTCTTTGTCAGCCTACCCCTCAACTTAGGAAAAGTGACTGGAGCTCAGGACCCCAGGATGGTCAGGATAGAAGGTAGTTTTGGGTTCATATCATGGTTCCGATAGATGAAACCCGTCAAAAGAACTTCAAGACAAGAATTCTTCCTTAAAGAACATTTTATGCAGGAAACAACATATCGGCACTACATAGCTAAACCCAAAACTAGTTTCCCTTCCCCAGATACAAAGTAACAAATTGCAATTCCCACCCCCCAATAAGCAGTCATAAATCACATTCTCCAATTAGCCTGAAACATGGGCTTTCTCCCCAGCTCCTCAGCCCCCCAAAACGTTATCAATTCATCCTTAGGTTCCCAAAAAGCAGCATTTATTATTATGACTAGCTAAGCTTAAGCATTCATCCCAACCCCCCTTCTGTACCTGATTTCTAAATAGAAGAAAAAGCATGTTAAAAGCAAAGAGAAAATGACTGAGATTTTCATCAGTTGTCAGAGCGGGAAACATCCAATGTTTACAGCATTGACACCGAAATCCAAAAGACAGCAAGTGATTTACCTCTACATTATTAGATTAAAGACTTTGAGAAGGTTCTGTTGAAATAATTCAGCTATGCTAAGCTAAATGGCCATTAATGGAGAAGAGGAAACTAACATAGGCAGTGAAAATGACACGTTTCTTTACAACCAAGAGTTCTTCATCCAGATGGTTCTACTTCCCACTCTTCTTTGCAAGGATGGCTGCATTGATGGGATTGCCAGTCCAATATTTCTGAAGGATGCCTCATTGAGGGATACTAAGCTAGACCAAATTGATGGAAGTTTTTTCCTAGGTTCATTTTTCTTTTTTTCTTCAGAAAATTTCACTTTTCTTATAATGTACCTAGCCATGGTTGCCTCCTTGCTTTATGTCAACCATGCCATGCTATTTTATAATCTCAAGCACTTCCCCAGCACCATGGATATTCCTTTCACTGAGAGTCCACTCAGAGATTGGGAAATCACTTCACTATATGTTATTCTTTCTACACACAAATCCAGAATCTGACATGCATCCAGCAACTGTAGTGCCCAGAAAAACATCAAATATGAGAGGAGTTGGGTGACAGGTAAGATTGAGATTTTGGACATTAGACTTCAAATTCTGCTTTCCACAATCCAAATATCTGAGGGAAGGGGACTTCAGAAAGCAGTATTTCTACATAACAAATTGCAGTACAAGATCAAGAGGCTACTGGGATCAACACTATTGGAACTCTACCTGCATATCTGAGGACACTCACTATGGATAAGAGTCACATAATAGGATGGTGCTACATCAGACTGGATATTTCATGTATAGTATACGCACTATCAACCCTGCCTGTTCATATAGCAATAGCACTTAGACTTATATACCACTTCATAGTGCTTTTCAGTCCTCTCTAAACAGTTTACAGAGTCAGCAAATGGCCCCAAACAATCTGGGTCCTCATTTTACCTACCTCAGAAGGATGTAAGGCTGAATCAATCTTGAGCCGTTCAGAATCAAACTCCTGGAGTGAGCAGTGAGTTAGCCTGCAGTACTGCATTCTAGCCACTGCACCACCACGACTCTATATACCAGTAGTATACAGAGAGATTAGGAGGAACAACAGTAGGAAGTAATATGGGTTCAATTTAGATAATCAAATCACAACTCCCCCTTCACACTATACAGCATAAAACATACTTAGCCAAAGATAAATATCATGCCAAGCTGCAATGTGGGCTCTCATCAACAAAGGGCATAATCAGATAGTAATTTCTACTGGAAGGGAAACAGTTGCAGTGCTATAATTTTAATTCATTCTTTCCAGTATTTTTTTTTTCTGTGCATCCAGAACTCTAGTTTATTCAGAATTTTTCTGCATTAATGAATTCATTCATTCATTCATTCATTATGCCTTCCTACAAAGTGACTCTGGACACTTTGCCTTATGGATTTGCAAACATCTTTTAGACATTGAAAAATGAGATACTGTACTACATTTAATTTCTCACAAAACATCCTTTAATACAGGGGTCCCCAACCCCTGATCCGTGGATTGGTACTGGTCTGTGGCCTAATAGAAATTGGGCCATGCAAGTGACAAGGTAGCGAACAAAGCTTCAATGCACATGCATAGTATGTAGGTTGTGCGCAAAACCATCCCCCCTCCACTGCGTGGAAAGATTGTTTTTCATGAAACTGGTTCCTAGTGCCAGAAATGTTGGGAACCGCTACTTTAATATATTCTTATGGCCTTCCTTGATCCATTTTTGTTGCTAATACAGCTATTTTCCTTTTGTTCAATTATGTCCAATTTTCAGAGACTGCCTGGACAAGTTCCTACAATTTTCTTTTCCAAAAGTGGTTCGTCGTTGCCTCCTTTCTAGGGCTGAGAGGAAGTGACTGGCCAGTGCTCACCCAGCTAGCTTTGTGTCCAAGGCAAAGCTAGAATTCATGTTCCTCTGGTTTCTAACCCGATGCCTTAACCACTATACTAAACTGGATCTAATACAGGAACAATGGCTACTATTATGGATTTTGTATAAAACCAAGTTGCTTTTGCAATATAATCTTGCATGTGGCTATTCAGAAGTCAGTTTTATTATTTATAATGCAGTTTGCTCCTTAGTATTCACTGCAGGAAGATAGGCTTAATGAGCATATAAGCTCATATAATGAAAAGTGTAACTTTATATTTGATTTCTTTTCTACAGGTATTTGTGCTGTTTCCAGTTTTGTATGCTCTGTCTCATTACATGAATTTGTAAATTTCAAAACCAACAGAGCAGCTTGTAACAACTTATACATTTAATAAGACACAAACTTCTGTGGATTCTTCAGATTTGATGTTCATAATCCAAGTTTGGCAAGACTACAATTATCTCAAGTGTCTGGACCAATGTTTCTCAACTTTGACAGTTTTAAGATGTGTGTACTTCAATTTCGAGAATTCCCTAGCCAGTGAACTCAATGAAAATGCAATGGAAATGTTATGATTGTGACAACTATGTTGAAATTTAATGCTATATTATGCTATATTTAAAACGTCTGCTAATCCTTAAAGTGACTTGAGACTCTGTATATTGCCCAAGTGGTTGGTTTTTGTCCTAACCATCCCAGCCTTTTAAGTACAATACAGCACTTTGCACATAAACGCTAGATCAAATCTGCATTATTTGGTCCTAAGTGCCATCTAATGGGTGTCATTGGAATTGCAAGTTTTTATAATCGGTGAAGGGTTGCAGAATATTAAATGAGTCGGATGCTGGGAAAGGGTATTATCGTAATGAATCCGGTAACTGAATGAGAACTCGATTGCACTTCAAGCTACGTTTAATCGCCGATCCAATTTCTTGGAAGAATAAATTTAAATAGCAACATGGTTGCGAAAAGGAAAGGAGAGGGGGAGGCAGAGAATAGCGATAAAATATCCCTGAAGCGAACATTAACTCTTTTCAAATATGGCTAGTTCAACCTGTCACTGAACATAGCAGTCCTGATTCTTCCCCCCCCCCCCCTTCATCTAACCGCTGTACTTCCCTCAGTCGAATCAAAGGAAAAGAGCCACAAAACATTACGCTGAAAAGTTCTATTACTCGGGCAACCTTTATCACAAACATTCTAGAAGCCCCGCCCCTTTCGTGATCTTGTATTTGCCGCTGCCGTTAAGGCAACACTCCATTAGCAACCATGTCCCAAAAGCGGGGGCAAGCATGGCAGACACTTCCTCCGCCTTTCCCTTCGGTTGGGAGGTGGACTCCGGCGCGCTGGTACCTCCCAAAGGCCGCCGACAAGACTGGAGACTGACTAGCAGTGGAGTGGGGCTCAATTATAGCCCATCATTGCCTTTCCCGCCGCCCTATGCGCGAGTGAGCAAGCTAATATTTAGCAGGGTAGTTGGTGCACTCCGGATGGTTTGTAAACACTAAGGTTTGGAGAGGAGGTGGCTAAGATCCCTGGGTTCTCTGCGAGAGGGCTGGAGTGACACCAAAAAAACAGGACGCGGGATGCTTTAAGGCAGATCCTGTTTGCATCCACGTAGTCCCCATATTTTTTGATTGTCCATTCTTTTTCTATGTACTCATTGTTCCTCCTGCAACTTTTCCATTGTTAGTCCACGATCCAGGAACCGTTGCCACCTGCCTCCCAGAAAGTATGGCAAGATGAAGTCATTCCCCGGCTGGCTACCACTGCACAACTTGCCCACTGCATGAAAACTCATAGGGAACTGCTAGCTCAACCCCGCTACTCTGTCTCTGCCTCATATCAAGACGTCCGCTACAATAAAGATTTGAGAGAGAAGGTAAGAGATTCTGAGGGAACTTTAGCAATTGGGTGCTCTTAGGAAAGTGTCCTGGAAAAGGCATTAAGAAGCAGATTCCTGATTTTACTAGAGAAATAGTTAAGGTTCAAGGAAGACCTTAGTGCAGCAGGATGAAGAGCTGGAAGGAACAGCTCTGGGAACACTTACAAACACTTATTTTTATTTTAATGCTGGGCTATGCTTTTTTCACTTCCCTCCTGACCTCTTTTCCTGTGTGCAAGACTCTTTTATTGCAAGCGTGAAGGCAGAGCCTACATACCAATACAGTACAGAGTACAGAGAAGAGCAACAAAGATGATTAGGGGACTGGAGGCTAAAACATATAAGGAACGGTTGCTGGAATTGGGTATGTCTAGTTTAATGAAGAGAAGGATGAGGGGGAACATGATAGCAGTGTTCCAATATCTCAGGGGCTGCTACAAAGAAGAGGGAGTCAAGCTATTCTCCAAAATGCCTGAAGGCAGGACAAGAAGCAATGGATGGAAACTAACCAAAGAGAGAAGCAACCTAGAACTAAGGAGAAACTTCCTGACAGTTAAAACAATTAATCAATGGAACAACCTGCCTCCAGAAGTTGTGAATGCTCCAACCTTGGAAGTCTTTAAGAAGAGATTGGACAGCCATTTGTCTGAAATGATATACGGTTTCCTGCCTGAGCAGGGGGTTGGACTAGATGACCTCCAAGGTCCCTTCCAACTTTATTATTATTACTATTATTATTATTATTACTATTATTATTATTATTATTTTAAAATACTCATATTGCTTGGCTGTATTTTCCATGCATCCTTTTTTCAAATTTCCAAAACAAAAAAAGTCTATCTTGTTTCAATTACCATAAAACACTGTAGGGAACAGATGTTAATTAAAAATAAAATGTATTAGGCACAAGATATTTTGTCACCAAAAGTAAAATCAAGTTACAAATTACCCAATGCTATTCTAGTAGGTGAAACTGGAGCATCTCACAACTTTATGATAACTTTTTATATTACATTCAAAAATAAAGTAACATTGTTTCTCATAATTACCAGCCAATGATGGCTGTAGGACAGAGGGATTTATAAATAACACGTAACCTTTCTACTTTGAACAATAAATATTTTAAGAAAGTCAACTCTCAATATGAATCGAATCCACAAGGATAATCTTAAAAATAAGCAATTTCTCCCTTCCCCGTAGTCTTGGGAACAATATTAACTGTCATTAGGTCTAATCATCTGTCCCTCTGCTTTTTAATATAATTTTTAAAATTAGTTTTTATAAAACATATAAAAACTAACACAAACTAATAAAATGCAGAAGCAGGAAAGAAATGAAGAAAAGTGAAAGGGTAGAAAGAATCGAAAAGAACAAAAAGTAGCTTTCAATTTCCTTTACAGAAATATTAGTTACAAAATTCTCTCTTACTCTGATTACAAAAAAAAAATCTATTTTTTTTCCTAATAATCAAAACCACAAATCACCTATGCATTTTTTCTGTTTCAGGTAAAAAAATAAGTGGTGTCTAGTTGACCATAAATATAGATACCATTTTCCTCTAATTCCTCAAAAATAAAAATAGCACTATAAAAATAAAGACTGTTCCTTAGCCGTTAAAATCTTTCATAGATCCTCCCTTAGTTACACTTTTTGCAAATCTTAAATCTTTAAGCAAAGTCTCTTATATTTCCTAATCTAGAAAGAAGACTAATCATAAAAGATAAGACATCACAAAAAGTCTTATCTTTACTGCAAAAGACAATATCTCTGCAGTTGTTGATTGATTACTTCTTAAAGTGATTAAGAGATGGGTAGAGTAAGGCTGTAAAGTCCCTAATGGTTCCACAGGAGTGTAGGTGAAAGTCTAGGATTCCAAGCAGCTCAACTTCTGATCTAGCTGCAATACCCTTTTCTGTTTGTGCAGTTTAATCAGAAGGAGCTGCCATCAAGAACAATGTAATTAATCTCTCAATCTCCCTTTGATCCAGGGAGCCAACTAGAAATCATCTTCCAGCTGGCTTTCAAAGGCTACAGCAGCTCTCATCACTTTGGAGAAAATCAAACTATCACTCCCTACAGCAGAGGTCCCCAACCTTTTGGGCACCAGGGACCTATTCCGTGGAGAGGTTTTTCCACGGACCGGAGTGCCTGGTTTTGTGTGCTGCCTGCATCTCGCAGATGGGGCTTTCTTTGTGCAGACCAGTTGCTGGCATGCGGCAGCCCGATACTGGTCCACGGACCGGGGGTTGGGGACTCCTGCCCTACAGAAACAACTCAGCTGTCCTTCTACTTTCTCCTATATGTTCTGCTTCCTGAACTCTCAACCTGCTCTTGTCACCAACAGCTGAAGCTTAGAGCCTGGAGGTTTCCCCTAACTATGGGCAACCAGAAGAGTGAGATCCAAGCAAATTTTCATGGTTGGCCCAATCTGCCGCACGACCCCACCTTTCATGCTGGGCCTCAGCCATTCAGACTGGCAGCTCATCACACAGATGGAGCATCCAAGGTATCTGGAATTTCAGAGACAAAAGGAGGACACCCACATTTCTTTTTCCTGAACACTCAGTTTTTCTTGCCAGAGTCATGATCTCCAAATTAAGAATGATTCATTGTGCACGTTTTTGCAAAGTTTTCTTGTACATATGTCCCCATCTTTTTGATACTGAGCAAATGAATGTTTAATGTCCTTTAGGCTCTTGCCAGATCTATGTGCAACTTGTATATGCTGGAGGAACAACAGCTTCGGGTGACCTGGGGTTAGGGATGACTTCAAATTTGCAGAGGAACAGCCTCCAGAGATAGACTCTGGTAGTTTATCTGACAGGGACAATAGATAGTTATTTAAATTTTCTACAGTGCATTAAGTCTACTAAGGGAATTGTGGAAATTTTAAAAAGCAGATGTCATGGGGAAGGGAATTAGGTGGCCTTTCTAATTGATGCTGGACTTGACTGAAGAGTCATCTTCTTAAAGATATCTTCTGCAGCAGAGGAAAATGCTGCTTAGCAAATTCAGAAAACCCTGTCCAATAGTGGTCTTTATTCTTTTCATTATAGTTGGTGGTAGCCACTACACAGAACAATGTCCTCGCTGGAAGACCCTTCTACATCTGTGACAAGGCAGTGCTGAAGCTTAACGAACCCTACTTATCAACCACTGCCCAGGACTTCCGGATCTTCACACAGTTAATGGAACATCTGTGGTATCTTTTCCCCACTCTTTCAGAGCCATATAGGTAGTCCTTAAGCTCACAATGAATCCCAGAATTTCAGTCCCAAATCATTCTGGTTATTTTAGGGTCTCAGTGGTACTACTAGTTTACATAACACCTTCAGAATCTGTATTTACATATGTAAATGTAATTCTTCATTTACAGCGATAATTGGGATTATATTTTGGTTGAAATTCATTACATTTATTAAGTTGAGGCATCTATGTGATAAGACCCAATTTTATGACATTTTCTGCAGCAGTCATTAAGCAAATCACTGCACTTGTTGAGCGAACTTTAAAGTCATACCTGTAAACCCATTCTTTCCACTGAGAGTTTTTGCCAGACAACAGGCAGAAAAGACATAAATTGTGGTCACATGACCATTGGACCTACAACAGATATTTAAGGAGAGCTGGTTGTCAAGAACCTGAAATGTGGTCAATGACTACAGTGTATGGCATGACATTTTACAACAATCAAAAGTGTTTTACAGACCATGAGACATTCTCTGAGCCTGTCCTAATTTTAAATAATAATAATAAAGTTGGAAAGGACCTCGGAGGTCATTTAGTCCACCCCCCTGTTCAGGCAGGTAACCCTATACCATTTCGGACAAATGGCTGTCCAATCTCTTCTTAAAGACTTCCAAGGTTGGAGCATTCACAACTTCTGGAGGCAGGTTGTTCCACTGGTTAATTGTTCTAACTGTCAGGAAGTTTCTCCTTAGTTCTAGATTGCTTCTCTCTTTGGTTAGTTTCCATCCATTGCTTCTTGTCCTGCCTTCAGGCGCTTTGGAGAATAGCTTGACTCCCTCTTCTTTGTGGCAGCCCCTGAGATATTGGAACACTGCTATCATGTCCCCCCTCGTCCTTTTCTTCATTAAACTAGACATACCTAATTCCAGCAACCGTTCCTTATATGTTTTAGCCTCCAGTCCCCTAATCATCTTTGTTGCTCTTCTCTGTACTCTTTCTAGAGTCTCAACATCTTTTTTACATCGTAGTGACCAAAAGTGGATGCAGTATTCCAAGTGTGGCCTTACCAAGACATTGTAAAGTGGTATTAATACTTCCCGTGATCTTGATTCTATCCCTCTGTTAATGCAGCCTAGCACTGTGTTGGCTTTTTTGGCAGCTGCGGCACACTGCTGGTTCATATTTAAATGATTGTCCACTAGGACTCTGAGATTCCTCTCACAGTTACTACTATTGAGCAAGGTACCCCCTATACTATACCCGTACATTTGTTTTTTCTTGCCTAAATGTAGAACCTTACTTTTTTCACCATTGAATTTCATTTTGTTAGATAGCGCCCAGTGTCCAAGTCTGTCCAGATCCTCCTGTATCGTAAGCCTGTCTTCTGGAGTGTTGGCTATTCCTGCCAGCTTGGTGTCGTCTGCAAATTTGACAAGTTCCCCATCTATCCCCTCGTCCAAATCGTTGATGAAGATGTTGAAGAGCACTGGGCCCAGAACAGAGCCCTGGGGCACCCCACTACACACTTCCCTCCATGTAGATATGGTTCCATTGAGGACCGCACGCTGAGTACAGCCGGTCATTAAACAATTGGTTGTAAGTCAGACATGTCAAACACAAGGCCCAGGGCCCGAATGTGGCCCACAAAGTGGTTTCATATGGCCCGCGAAGTCATCCTGGAAACAGTGAGGGAATGGCCCCTGCTGCCTTGGCCCTGGCCCAGGCCGGCCAGGAGCCAATATACAATTTTGTGGTGGCCATTTATGCTGAAACACATTCAGTCTTAGCTCCACAAGGCCATCTGGAAACAGCAAAGAACCAGCCCCTGCTGCATCGGCCCCACCCCCTGGGTGCATGCTGGGGAGGTGTCACCCTTTGTGAAGAATGAAGAAATGGACCATCATTTAGAAGTGGTCAGCAAATGGCCCTGGCCTACTTCACATATCCAGCTTGATGGGCTCTGGGGGAGGGGTTTCAGCAGGCAGCAGGGCACTCTCCTCACAACACCGAGAGAGGCAAATCCAAAAAGCGCAAATCCAAAAAAAAGCACGACAACACCCAGCCCCCAGCCTGCCTGGTTTCGGCAGACAATGGGGTGCTCTCCTCACAGCGCCAAAATTGAGCCGGGTGGCGTGAAACTGCTGAAAAGTGCAATGCTGCCTAGTTCCCAGCCTGCCCAGTTTCAGCAGGCAGCAAAGTGCAAAGCTGGTGAGCTTTGCACCACCTGGCTCAACCTCTCGTTGTTGTGAGGAGTGTGCCCTGCTGCCTGTCAAAACCCCTCCCCCAGAGCTCATCAAGCCGGATATGTGAACTAGGCGAGGGCTATTTGCTGGCCACTTCCAGGCGATGGTGCATTTCTTCATTCCTCATGAAGGGTGACACTTCCCTAGCTGCGTTTCTTGCCTGTTTTTCTCTCTCGTCTCAAATATTTCCCCCCCATTCTGTACTAAGGAAGGAAGGAAGGAAGGAAGGAAGGAAGGAAGGAAGGAAGGAAGGAAGGAAGGGTCTAAGGGAAGTCCTGCCCTGCTGCCCTTTTACCATCCCCTTGCCCCCTCCTCCTGGCCTATCCTGGGGGTCTCCCATCCTATTGCTAAGAAAGCTTTGGATACAAAGCCGGGTCTCCTCCCATGGCGAGGGAATGGGCCTCCCTCTGACTTTGCCCTTATACCCATCATGAGCAACCTGGCTAAGGAGAGCAAGCACAGCAGCAACAGCCTTGAGGAGGAGGTAAGTGCAGCTGGGCGCCCCCTTGCGGAAATGGGCTGGGCTTGGTGCCGCAGATGGCTCAAGGGCCAGGCTGGGCATCTGACCTCTGCTGCCCAGGACTCTGGGCAGCCCGCACCACCATCCAGCCCCCCCTGGCATGGCAGAGAGGAACTGTGAGGCTCCACCAGTGGACCATGCCTTGGCACTTGCCCTGGTCCCATCCCCTTCTGCCAGAGACCCTCAGATCTGTCCCACTCCTGCCCAGGCCCCCACAGGCACCCTTGACCCGAACGATGTAGAGCTGGCCATGCCCACCCAATAGGCCACACCCCCTCTGGCCACACTCACCCAGTAGGCTGCACCCACTCTGGCCACACCCACCCAGCCACCCGAGGGCAATCGCAATGTTGATGCGGCCCTCAATGAAATTGAGTTTGACACTCCTATTGTAAGTCATGGACTACTTGTATTAGTTGCGGGGGAGCAAAGTGGGAGGCATATGCTCCTAGCTTCTTCAAAACATATAGTTGGAAAAAGGAAACTGGACTCCCCAGAATTTTGCTTTGATTCACAAAGCTCTACTTTTATAAGACATTTCCATTCTTGCTAACCTGAATTTTCAGTATTCTTTTAGCCCATGGAGACACATTTCACTTTAATTGCTGTAAAGTTCCATTCCATTGTGCCAAATATGCTAATTTGATCAATATATATGTATGATACAATTGAGTTCAAAATTTCCATAGCTAAACAAGACATTTATTAAGTGAGTTTTACCCTATTTTATGACCTTTCTTGTCACAGTTATTAAGTACATCACTATGTTCTTAAATTAGTAATACAGTTGTTAATTAATCCCATTGATGTTGCTTGTCAGAAAGTTGAAAAGGGTGATCACATGATCTCAGGACACTGCAACAGTCATAAAGTTATGTCAGTTGTCAAGCATCCAAATTTTGATCGTAAGTATGAAAAATGGTCACTGTAACTTTGAACTAAATGATGCTTGTAAGTCAAGGACTACCTATATCTTGTTGTGCACAATTCATCCTACCTAATGCTAGTCTATAACCATAGTAAATTTTGATTCATCCTATTTTACTAGGAATAAGTGAGGAGCTCCCAACCTCTCTTCTAGAAGCTTGTAAAAGCTGTAATTTTAGTAGGCATCACCCACGGGCATCACTCACTGTAGTCATAGGGACTAGAAATATTTCTTTTTTTAAATTAAAAATTAGCTTCTTAGTAAGCTGAATTCTAAATTTAGTGCTCTATTTAATGCCCTCTAAGCAGCACAAACAGACTTGAGCAAAATTGATTCTTGCATTACTAAATATAAAGGAAATATAAGCATCTGCTTCTGGAATGAAATAAATCTGCCCTTCTTGTCTTCTTATAAAGTAGTTTAATCTCACTCCATACCTAACACTGCACATATTTCCTGCTTTTGTCTACCTTCCTGAAAAAATGATTTCTTTTGTTCTGTCTCCATTCCTTCATAGGAAAGAACTTCAAGGGTATACTCAGAAGGAAGTTCTCAATTTGGATCCTTACCCTCTGATTCATGAACCTGGGACTATGCGAGATCTCCAGATGTTTCCAAAGGCTACCCGGGTACCTCACCTGATCCTGAACCCAGCTGTACCTCACCGTGGTTTATTCAGCCTGGCCCAAGAAACCTACCAACTTCCCAATGACCACAAGCGAACCTGGAATCGCTTTTGCCCTGTGCAGCAGCCACCCACAGTTTCCTGCCGGGTGCCTGTGGTGGAAATCATGTGTGTGCCACACATGTATGAGACGGAGTATAAATGCTATGGAAGTGGCAAACCTATGCCAGTGTGAAATGGACAGAGATTTCTACTCACTCACTAGTCCCTTTTTCTACTTCATCCAAAAAGAAGAAAAAAAATATTTCATCATGTTTATCTTTTGATCATTTTGTTGAAATAACTAAAACAAAAACAAAAGCCCTAGATGCATTCAACAAACAAAACATTTTGACTTATACTTTGCTATACTGTCTTAGCATTTTAGCTTCATAAAGCTGTGAACAAACTAGGTATAAAAGTTGCATGCATGTGTACTCACCTAAAGAATATTAGGCCCGCAGCAGTAAGCAAACCAATACAGGATTAATGTGCAAGAATTGATTCTTGCATTACTGTATATAAAGAAAATAGAAGCATCTCCAGAGGGGACTTCTGGAGTGAAATAAATCTGCCCTTCTTGTCTTCTTATAGTTTAATCTCACCACATACATAACAATACTAGACTACAATACATGTAGTCCTCAATTTAAGACCATTTGTTTAGCAACAATTTGAAGTTACAACAGACTTTCATGGGGATACTTACAATCTGGTTCCAAAGTTCAAATGGTTACGCCATTGACTGCATTTTGGGTGTTCAGAAAGTGGTCCACATCTATAGCTGTTTGCAGTGTCCTGCAGCCATCTGAACATGTTTTGTGATGTTTTTTGAAAACTGGCATTTCTAGTTTTGGGCAAAAAACATCAACTGTTTGCTTAATGACCACAACATCTGCTTAACATCTGCAGCAAAAAAGGTCATAAAATTGGATCTGTTATGTGGGTGACCCATTTTATGATTATCACAACTTACAGTGATAATGGGCAAACTCTATTATGGTCATAAGTTGAGGACTATCGTACAATGACACTGAATTCCAAAACAAAAAGTCATAAGGGAATAGCAAATAAGAACCAGCACTTGCTAGGCCTAGCTAATTCTTCAGGATTGATAGCTATAGTCATTTGCTTCAGTTACCCACAAAACAAGCTCTCACTATATTGACTCTTTGCTATGTGGTTCACTGATGCCTCGAGCATGGATAGGTCCTCACAGCAGCCAGATGTTGTTACATCAGACCCCATTTTGTGTAGCCTGAATCATGAAATGTATTGCTATACTAGAGTTTGCTAATTTTGGCTTAGTCTATTATGTAAAATCTCCCAGTGTGTGGTTTATTTAAATAATGTTTAAGCAATAAATTAGTGCAATTGTTTGAACCCAACCTGAATGTGAAAGATAAGACATATAATTTTCACATTTATATTCCAATTTTCTTGGTTTATATGAGATTTTCCTATTTTCTCTTCAATATCACCTGGGAAGTCAGTTAGCTAGAGAGACAGTGACTTGGCTTGCCTGAGTAACAGTGGCATATCTCAAGAAAGAGGCATGGGATTGTACTGTTCTAAGCAGCTCTATATTTGGATACAACACCCAAAACAGATGCTACCAGTACATAGGATTCTCAGCAAGAGTGAGAAACCAATAGCTCTTAAGATGATATTTATCTTCAGCCCCATTGTCAATGATTAGGAATGATGGTACCCAATAAATAACATCTGGAAGGCCACATAGTCTGATTACAATTTTGGATTGACAATGAGCAGTTGCAGATTCAGTTCCATAGCTAAACTGATAGTCACAAGGCATCTATCTTCCTCTAAAAGTACACTTTATAGCAGTGGTTCTCAACCTTTTTAATGCCGTGACCCCCAACCGGTCGTAAGTCGAGGACTAAACCTGTCGTAAGTCGAGGACTAAACTGGTCATAAGTCGAGGACTACCCAACTGGTCGTAAGTCGAGGACTTTCCCTGCCCGGGAGTGCCACACATGCGTGGTGCCGCCCCCTGCGCCGGCCGAGGCGTAGCTGGCAAGCGGCAGAGACGGAGCAGGCCGACCACCGGCTGGGCCACCAGCTGGCCCAGCCCAAGGGAGGTAAGGCACCTGCCGGAAAAGAGAAAAAAAATGGCGGACAGCCTTGCTTGGCAACCCCCATGAAATGGTCGATCGACCCCAAATGGGGTCGCAACCCATAGGTTGAGAACCGCTGCTTTATAGGATTGTGGTATGGATAATATGTGTGAGAGAGAAGCAGTATTTATGATGTGAACTTCTGGAAGAGAGATGGGATATCAATGTATAGGTAGTCCTTGATTTTTAACCACAACTGGGAGCATAATTTCTATTACTAAATGGATGCAGTTGTTGAGTCATGCCTATATTATGACATTTTTTGATGAGTTGTTAAGTGAATCATGATGACCGTTAAGGGAATCACATGGTTGTTAAGAGACTCTGCAAGGGACTTTGCTTGTCAGGCGCCATTCTGGGAGGTCATAAATGGTGATCATGTAACTTCAGAATGCTATGATCATTATAAATACATGTTTTCCAAGTGCCCTAATTTTGATCATGTGATGGGACTGCAATAATAAATGAGGGTATGGGTCATGTCACTTTTTTCAGTGTCATTACTTCACATAGTTGTTAAATAAATGGTTATAAGTTGAAGCCTATCTGTTATTACATAAACAAGTTACTGCATTTTTGTTTCTTCATTTCAGAGAAACATAATGACATGGGTAGGCAAAAAAAGCAATCACAATAACAGCGATTTTCTTGCTGATTTGATCAGATCTGACCACCCTTTAACAGCTACTGATGGGACAAGTCTGCCCTGGCTCTGGAGGTCTATGGCAGAATTGGTCTCCTGATCTCTAAAGCTAAAGGAAGGGCCTTTACCTGCCTCTGGAGGGCTAGGTGGGACCAATCAATGCAACAGCATTGAAGTGACCACAATTGCAAAATTTCATTCTAACAGGATTTGTGGATCTCAGATTCTGGATGTGTTCTGTATGTTAGCCCATTTGAGTTAACTTGGTTTAAAAATTATTGGACTATGATATGCCCTTTCACACAGTTAAAATTTATATACACTAGAGTTTTAGTAGAGATAAATTACAATGGAGCCTGTCTATCACAGTTGTGAATGTAGCTTTTCTATTATTTAGTTTATAAATACTCTAGTTTTTGCACATAAAGAAATAATAATAATAATAATAATAATAATAATAATAATAATAATAGGTGGGCGTGGAATGCTACAAGTACATCAGATGGTTGAAGAAGAAAAAATGGCTTTGGAAGAATATCTGAAGAACAATGATGAAGATGCACTGAAATTAGTATATGAGGAAGGCTTACTGACTACTGGAGAGACCAAACTGGCGTACAAGAAAGACCAAATGAAGAATAGAATAGAGGCATGGGAAGACAAAGCACTACATGGCCAATACATTAAAAAAATAGCTGGGAAAGCAGATAATAATAAAACCTGGCAATGGCTAAGAGCAGGAATATTGAAGAAAGAGACCGAGGGACTAATTCTGGCTGCACAAGACCAAGCCTCAAGGACAAATGCATACAAAGTCAAAATTGAGAAGACAGCAAAAGACAGTAAGTGCCGCCTATGCAAAGAAGCTGAAGAAACAGTGGACCACTTGGTAAGCTGTTGCAAGAAGATTGCACAAACTGATTACAAGCAGCGGCATGACAAAGTAGCAACAATGGTGCATTGGAAGATCTGCAAAAAATCTCATTTGCCTGTAAGCAAAAACTGGTGGGATCATAAAATAGAGAAAGTCATAGAAAATGATAAAATTAAACTGCTCTGGGACTTCAGAATTCAAACAGACAAGCACCTGCAACAAAACACCCCAGACTTAACAATTGTCGATAAGAAAGACAAAAAAGTCTGGATAGTGGACGTGGCAGTGCCTGGAGATAGCAGAATAGAAGAGAAAGAACTGGAGAAAATAACAAAATACAACGACCTACAAATAGAAATAGAAAGACTGTGGCAAAAGCAAGCAAGGGTAGTACCAATAGTAATAGGCTCCTTAAGTGCAATCCCAAAACAACTGGAGCACCACTTGAACACCATTGGCATTGACAAATTCGCTATTAGTCAATTGCAAAAGGCGGCCTTATTAGGAACTGCTTCCATCCTGCGACGATACCTGTAATACCATCAAACATCTACATCTGCCTATCCCAGGTCCTGGGTAAGGACTCGATAGGTAGACAAAATGCCAAAGCCAGTCTGAACATCTGGCTGACTGTGCGATGATCCCATAATAGGACTAATTCTGGCTGCACAAGACCAAGCCTTAAGGACAAATGCCTACAAAGTCAAAATTGAGAAGACAGCAACAGACAGTAAGTGCCGCCTATGCAAAGAAGCTGAAGAAACAGTGGACCACTTGGTAAGCTGTTGCAGAAGATTGCACAGATTACAAGCAGCGGCATGACAAAGTAGCAACAATGGTGCATTGGAAGATCTGCAAAAAATATCATTTGCCTGTAAGCAAAAACTGGTGGGATCATAAAATAGAGAAAGTCATAGAAAAATGATAAAATTAAACTGCTCTGGGACTTCAGAATTCAAACAGACAAGCACCTGCAACATAACACCCCAGACTTAACAATTGTCGATAAGAAGACAAAAAAGTCTGGATAGTGGATGTGGCAGTGCCTGGAGATAGCAAAATAGAAGAGAAAGAACTGGAGAAGATAACAAAATACAAAGACCTACAAATAGAAATAGAAAGACTGTGGCAAAAGCAAGCAAGGGTAGTACCACTAGTCATAGGCTCCTTAGGTGCAATCCCAAAACAACTGGAGCACCACTTGAACACCATTGGCATTGACAAATTCGCTATTAGTCAATTGCAAAAGGCAGCCTTATTAGGAACTGCTTCCATCCTGCGACAATATCTGTAATACCATCAAACATCCACATCTGCCTATCCCAGGTCCTGGGTAAGTACTCGATAGGTAGACAAAATGCCAAATCCAGTCTGAACATCTGGCTGACTGTGCGATGATTGAGAATAATAATAATAAAATTAAACTGCTCTGGGACTTTAGAATTCAAACAGACAAGCACCTGCAACATAACACCCCAGACTTAACAATTGTCGATAAGAAAGACAAAAAAGTCTGGATAGTAGATGTGGCAGTGCCTGGAGACAGCAGAATAGAAGAGAAAGAACTGGAGAAGATAACAAAATACAAAGACCTACAAATAGAAATAGAAAGACTGTGGCAAAAGCAAGCAAGGGTAGTACCAATAGTAATAGGCTCCTTGGGTGCAATCCCCAAACAACTGGAGCACCACTTGAACACCATTGGCATTGACAAATTTGCTATTAGTCAATTGCAAAAGGCGGCCTTACTAGGAAATGCTTCCATCCTGCGACGATATCTGTAATACCATCAAACATCCACATCTGCCTATCCCAGGTCCTGGGTAAGGACTCGATAGGCAGACAAAATGCCAAATCCAGTCTGAACATCTGGCTGACTGTGCGATGATCCATAATAATAATAATAATAATAATAATAATAATAATAATAATAATAATAATAATAATAATAATAGTAGTAGTAGTAGTAGTAGTAATAATAATTTGGAGGAACTTCAAGAAGAACATGGAAGATCTGGGATTTTCTGTTTCATGCACAACCCTAATTAAAATGCATTTTTTTATTTTACATTTTTTTGCAGTGGGGGAGGCAACTACTTGGACTAATCTCTTCAGCTTCCTTTGCAAAATGTTGAAAGTGGTTGGCTATTGGCTGTTTTCTAGGGCTGAAAGAGAGTTACTGGCCTAAAGATGCTTCACAGCAAAGATGGGACTAGAATTGCCTTAACCAGTACAACAAAGTGACTTTGTTCAATATTTCCAATTCATTTACAATATTTGTAATCACTTAAGATTCTGGTGAAATAAAACAAGAAATCAATTGGGAATAATAAAGACATGCAATGGATACCCACTGTATTTGTTGAAGAGATAAATTTACACATATTGGGGGAACTTGTCCAGGGAAGATAGGACTATCCAAAGCTTTTGAAGGAGATGCTTTGCAAAATGTGCTGAATCAACTACAGAGCCATTTGGCTTCCCTAGAACAGGTAATCCTCAACTTATGACCACATTCAGTTCAACGTTTCTGTTGCTAAATGAGACATTTGTTAAATGAATTTTGTTCCCATTTTACAGCCTTTCTTGCCACAGTTGTTAATGGAATCAATGCAGTTGTTAAGTTAGTAACGTGTGTGTTAAGTAAATCTTACTTCTCCATTCACTTTGCTTGTCAAAAGGTTGCAAAAGGTGATTACATGATGCAGGCACACTGCCACCATCATAAATATGAATCCCTTGCCAAGTGTCCGAATTTTGATCACATGACTTTAGGGATGTTGCACAATCATAAATTAGAAGAATGGTCATAAATCACTTTTTTCAGTGCCATTGTAACTTCAAACGGTAACTAAATAAACTGTTGTAAGTTGAGGACTACCTGTTCTCCCAAGCAAAGCTTTGTTATGTACAACAATAAAATGGATAAAAATGCTATATTGAAGTAACTTTGACATTTTTCTGTTCTGGGAGGCTTTTTATGTCTTCAGCTCTCCTGGCTCTGGAATTGTTAGTATTCCTTCCATCCAAGAACTTGCGGGTGACACCACTTAGCTTTTCCAGAGCAACCAAGGTTAGCCAAGTACCTTAGGTATTATGAACTTAATTCATGCTTATTGCAAGCCTTGCTGATGATGGCAGAGCTAAAATATTCTTAATAATAAATCTGTAATGTGTATTCCTGCACTCACTCTGATCCTGCCAGGCACCTGCTCCTTTTTCAGACATCTTGCTTGAATGTCTTCAGTTGCTGATTCTGAAGAAGTCCACACCTTTTTAGGGAATGAATACAGGAGGATATTTAGAGCT